GGTTGTTGCTGCTAAAGAGTAACATTTGTAAAAAAAACAATGCAGATTGATTTTCCTTAGCTTTTTCTGAACCTGAAGTGCTGAGACAAGCAAAACGTGTTTCCATTACTTAACTAAGCAAACAACGGCATATAAATCATAGGGACAGCTGGACCAAGGTGTCATTTTCATAATGAGCCAGATTTCTCGTGACGGACGGTTTAATGGGCTGCTGCCAGTGAAATGTCTGCAGAGCTGGTAACTGCAGGAGGGCACGCAGAAAGTTGCATTAGAATGGTGTCATGTGGGAGCTGAGAAATAGCCCCACAGCCAAGACAACTGGAAAAAGGAGGCTGAAAAAGGTGTGTGCTTTAATAATTTGCTTCTTGAGGCTGAATGTTTTAAACAAAAATCTAAGTTTTTATTTTTAGCTTGTTCACATTGGCTGCAAGATCAGAGAAGTGTTTTTAACTGTAATTTTATTTTGATCGTGTTTATGCTGTGGCTTTGTTGCTCCTTTGATCATGCTTAAACATGTTTCAGACCTATTTGTTTGAAGTGTGATGTTTTTTAAAGCACTCTTCCACATTGTCTCCTTGTGTTTTGTTAGAGCAATGAATCATTGCAGAATATTTGCCATCAAATTATTTCTTAAACTAATTTTCCCAAAGTAAGCTTTCTGGACTCTTAACCGATTGGAGACTTCTTTCAATCAAGAAACTATTGAACTGTTGTAACAGCATTTCTGAGCGCTTCACGGATTGGAGACAGTTTTAGGGTGCAGAATACTCAAGAATTCATGCACAGAAAATTGAAATCATCCTATCTATCCATAATAGTTGCAGTGCACCGACTTTTACAGTTGTCACCTGTGGGTTTGAATCAAAGTCCTACTTTTCACTCAGTAAAACTTCCTTGAAGTTCATTCCAGCACTTCTTTTTTGACTGTGTTGAATGTATGAAATAGGTCAACCCTGAGTGAATTATTTTAAACTTCCCAAGGGGACCCCTTGATACCAAACCTGTTTAATTTTGCAGGGTAAGGCAGGGTAGTCTCAATACTTGAACATACACATTCATGGATGACATTCTTTCTTCTGCTGCATGGGTGAGCAATTAGGAGGGTCAAAAAGTCCCTTGTCTGTGGACAACATCTCCCCTTCCTCAAAGCAGAGCAATAGAAAAATGCTACGTAGTCCATGGAGAGCACTGTGTTGCGTGACTGCCGGCCATCTGGCTGATTGATTCATCATGACCCTAAACAGTTAGCTGTAAGCATGGTCTGAAACCCTGGAGTTAAATGTAAGTGTGCATCAAGCCTCAGGCAAGTCAAATAGCTCCTCCGCTAATGAAACAATAAAGAACACACTACAGATCACTAGTTCACACCACCCACTTCTGAGCCTCATAACCTACAAAATCATCAACCACATATCTCTTCCTCTCTCCATACATATAATCATGATGTTGCTTTTATGGTTGTTATATTCATTCTGAGCAGAAATTAATCTATTTCTCTACGCAACAGAACACATGTAGTCTATTCTTCCTTTATTTGCTTCATTGCATAGACTTAGATCTGTTATATGGAAGAGGGAAAAAAAAAACCCAAACACCACCAGGTAACAAGAGCAAGGGCCCTACAACATGAAGAACCACTTTTCCATTGACTGAAACGTACCGATTTAACCAGACGGCAAAACAGCCTGAGGTTCGCTCTGTAAGAATATTTGTTATTCAGCAAAAATCGTTCATGATGTACAATGGATGTGTTCTAATCTGAGGCTGTGTGACTGCTTTGTTATCAGGGACTTAGTTAGGATTATTAATCGCTAACTGAAAATCTGAATTGGTCCCAGATCAGTACTGGTAAGAAATATATACAAAGCATATTCACATGTGCTCTAGCTATGTCGTTAGTTACATCTGCCTTCCTCCCACCCCTCTTCTACTGCCACTCTGACAGAATTATATGAAATATGTATTTTTCAATTTCTTAAATGATTTTTCCATCATTCTTGTTTCAATTCTGCTTTAATTGTAGACTGTCTTACTGTTTCTAGGTTCACATGCAAAATTATTAGACGGAAAGAAAAGAATAATAATATGCTAACTGGGGACAGGTTTACATAACCCATACTATATCAGCAATATTTTTGTCTCAAATGGGACTCACCACAGTATCTTCATGGGCCAATGTAAAGTCAGATTTTTGATGCCTGATAATATAGTGATTTATTTTAGAATTTGATACCTTGTGATTTACAAAACTCATTGCGCTAGAAACAAATCATTCAACCTTTTGGGAATGTACTTAGGTTTTGACTGAGTTATTTTTTTACCCTTTTCATCAAGACTTTATGATTGTAACAACAGTGTATTCAGACAAGAGGTTCTCCAGATCCAGTAGCCCAGACCAGTGTCTGCTAAAGGATATCCTCTTCCTCTGATGTATCCTTCCACGGGCTGCGATTCAGTTTTCAAGCTGTAACCTTGTGCTTCTTGTGATACAGGTTGCATTCAAAGCCCTGGTAGATCATATAAAAAATAACAGATGTTTACCATGGTACAATATAGTCTAGATATTTATCCTGAGCCTTGTGTCAGTGTAACTTGCAGGCTACCAAATGAATGCTAGAAAGAAAGAAAGTGAATTTAGTACCTTAAGTTACTGGTCTTTGGGGTGGAGAGCTTAAGGTGCTTACAGATTTTTGATGTTTTCAGACGTCTGAAAAGATTAATTTTAATAAACAATAGGTAATGGACACAGTTCCACAGAGATACATTCTGTGGCCGGTGTTGTTCAACACATTCATAAGTAACCTGAAAAAGAGGTTGAGCAGCAGGATGAGAAAATTTTTCACAGTGTACTAAGTTATTCAGCATACTGAGACAAAGGAAGACTGTGAAGAATTACAAAAGGATCTTATGCAACTGGATAGCTAACCAATCAAATGACAAATTAAATTAATCTTGATGAATGATGTAGTAATAAACTATGGGGAAAACCATGAGGAAAACATGCCTGTCTTCACATACAAAATGGTGGGCTGTGCACTGAGCATTAGCAGTGAAGAGTGAGATTCTGGGGTTATGGCACATAAAGTTCCATGAAAATTTCAGATAGATGCTTAGGAACTGTCAAATCCATATTAAAAGTTGGGAATTAATAGAAAAAAAAGGAGAAAATTCAACAAAGACCATTGCTCTAGCCCTTGTATAAAAGCACAGTTCATCCATATCTTGAACACTGTGGGTATTTTCAATACGGGAATTAAGAGGCACTAAATGAAGTTAATAAGATCGATGTTCAAAACATGAAATCAGAAGTAGGTTTCAGTTCATTAGATTGTGTATGTGAGGAACAAATTCCAAAAGGACACTATGAATGCTGGAAATTTACATGTGTTCAGGAAGAGTCTAGACAGATAACTGGATGAAAAATCTTTTGAGAGTTACTAAGCACATAGAAAACAGCCACGCTCAGTGAATCAGCCACACTGAAAACAGTTGGAGGAAGGGAGATTATTCTGTCAGAGTATTATTTGTACTTACCATATTTTTCTTTGTCCCAGATAATTACTACTGGACAATGTTGGATTCTGTATATTGATCTTAGTAAACCTTGGTCTAAGCCACTATGGTGATTCTCATGTACTGTGTATACACACACACACACACAGAGAGTATACAAGAATATATAGACACACATATATATATATAAACACACAGAGCACATGTGAATATGTATGTAAACATAAACACACACAAAATTATGCAGTATGTGCTCATATAATAGACACATCTAAATGCACACATGCATATATATAAATATATCAGAATGTGTTGCTTACTAACACTGCCATCCTTAATAAGTCCATGGGTTTCACAGGACAGCTAGTGCAAACTGGCAAAACAAAGTATAGTTCATTATCTCCGTGACTATACAGCAATAAACATACACTGAAAAGATGTTACAGCATGACACTAAAATAGCTTATAATTTCACATAGGAACAGGACTCTTTGAGTAGTTAAATATAGTTCACAGTTAATTATCCTAGCAGGATGTAAAATGGTTATAAAACACATTGGTAAATCTGTTGGATATGCCTTCTTTTTCCAAATATAGTGAAAGATACCAGCTGAAATATCTCTGTGAAATACAGTGATGAGCCATATTCACCACTGGTATGAATTTACTCTAATGATTTCTATAAACTTCTCTTCCAAAACTTCTTTCCATCACTTTTTACATAACTAATAAATATGCTGCGTTTTATGTATTTTCATTTGTCGATGTATCTTCTTTGCCACTGAATAATGTTGTCACTCTCATTGTCAAGGAAATAAAGATTTTCTATGAAAAAAAATCTTTAAAAAATGAGAAGACACAGTATTTCAACAACTTAAATAGAAATTCACTAATGCAATTATCTTCTGAACACAAGACAAAAATGTTGGGTTGTAGGGTGGTATAGTGTGGAAGTAGACATTATCAATCAAAACTATGCTTTTTAACTCAATTTTTTGACAATCATACATTAATAGCTTTCTGGATATAAAATACTTTATATGGTCTTCATTTTTGCTTAAATTTAGAAGTATTACCTTTGTCTCCATAATTCTCTCATTTTATGTGCAACACATATGGAAAGATTATTGACCAAAAGTCAAAATATTCAAAGAAACAAGAATAATGTCAGTAATAAATACACAGAATTAGGAAGCCAAGCTGTAATGTTATACAACCATTTGTAAAAAGATTTCATGCATGTTTAATTGCTTCAATAATAATGTTAAGGTCTGTTCATTAAATACCTGTAGCAAACATCTCTGTGTAAAAGAGGAACATAAATACCTGTCACATGTTAATGGGTGATGATGTACCAAGCATAGATATATTTGCCATTTGATGCAAAGGTTGATTCTTAGGAAGGAAAATTGCCATTCATTTAGGTAAGGAGGGCAAGAGATTCAATTCATGGAGTAGTAACGTGCACAATGTCATTGTCTCCTCAGATCCTAGATTTATTAGTGCTCACCTGATACCAGAGAGCGACAATCCAGAAGATGACAAAATCTATTTCTTCTTTCGTGAAAGTGCAATTGATGGAGAGCACACTGGAAAAGCCACTCACGCCAGAATAGGGCAGATCTGCAAGGTAAAATATTGACTTCTTCATGTCAGCATGAATGCACTTGCAGGATGTTTTGTGAGTGATTTTAGAAACTTCGTTTTCTTGCCTGTAAACTATTCATTGCCAACACTGCCATTGTACTAAAGCAGAGATCATCCCAAGTGAAAAAGTTAGGGGATAACACACCCAAAGGTATGCTACTCAGTTCTCTGTCTGGAGAAGCTTCACAAACTACGATGTTTTGTTTAAAAAGTCTTAGGGGTTTTCTGAGGCTTAGAATGTGTCTGCAAAAGAAAGAATGTTTCACAGGAAATGTGATACTTCCAGGTAGGCCAAAAACATCTGAAGAATTTACTTTTTCAAGGAACATTAATACCTTTCCATTCACACATTAGTGAAAATATTTAAAACAGAGGCAAAGGAAGATTTACGAAACAGTTGTTTAAGCTTAGCTGTAGAAATGGGCAGGGGTTCCAAAGACACTTAATGACTGCAGATCGAATGATTCAGCCACACTGATAAACATCCAAATGTTTTTTCTGACAGACACTTAAAAGGATTTCTGCAGGTGAAATTTTATTAATAAATGTTGTAACTTTGGCAACTGTGATGTTTAAAGTAAAATTTCTTGTTAAGCCATAAGTACAATTTCAATTTATCTCCTGAAATCCAGAGGTAGAGGCTTGGAAACCAAATTATCCCATAAGCATGAAGTCCTTGGTGCACTTTATGAATAAGTTTTGCAGCTATACAACTAATCCCACTGTTCTAGCATTTTTATCTACTTTGTTCACTTGCAGCTTACATTTCTTCAGTTAAGAATAATAAAAACCCTTAAGCTTTACCAGAACATGGCAGCCCTGAAGTAAAATATTCTGCCTGTCTCTCTTTCTCCAGTGTTATATATATGTATTGCAATATATAAAGAGGTGTGGGTTTTCTTGGTTTTGTTTTTAAATGATGTGCTACTATGAAATATGTAGCAATAAAAAAATAAAATAAAAGCGAATCAGAATTAGTTTCTTTGACAACATAATGCCTTTGTATGTAGAAGGTGAATTCTTTTCTCTGTTTTCGGTAAGTAGCATCTAGTGGTTACTTACTATATTTGCTCTGTACTCTGTTGCTACTTCAAAGACTGTTGCTAGATATTAATGCAAAATACTTTTGTTATTAGAATGACTTTGGTGGACACAGGAGCCTTGTTAACAAATGGACAACTTTCCTCAAAGCACGTCTGATTTGTTCTGTGCCAGGACCCAATGGCATTGACACACACTTTGATGAACTACGTAAGTGGCAGTAATGTTTTTGAATACAGAAATATTTTCAGGTATTATCCATATGAATTTAACTTCATTTTCTTTTCCATCTCTTGTCATTGTTACAGAGGATGTGTTCCTAATGAACTCAAAAGATCCAAAAAATCCAATAGTCTATGGAGTGTTTACAACTTCCAGGTATGGAACCTATCATTTTACTTGCATGGAAACTTGGGTGGCTGCTTGTTTTAGAGAGCTCTCTTTGTTAAACATGTTTTTAAGAAACACAAAATTTTCTTAACCTTTGAACTGTGAAGTCAGTGGTAGTAACAAGTAATGAATTGGGTTTCTTTTCTTATAAGCAATGTACATAATCACTCTGAAGCACATGATCAGAGAGACTATCAGTTTCTCAGGCTGTTCTTGCCGTTGAATTGGCTTTTTATAGTGAGGGTCAGAATTTGTAGCCCTTTCCACACAGACCTGGAAAAATTACACAAGTATAAATACGCCATAAATATGCTTGTGTGGGGTGGGGGCAGGGTGAAATAGAAAATCTGTGGTTTGACAAATTTGCTACGCAAGAAGATATTAGTAAAAAATACTGCTGAAATCTGGAAAGTTTAATGATCTTTCAAAAGTTCTGTTATTAAATGACATGTAACTGTGACTTGAATGTTTTAGTTTCATTATGCTTTCACCAAGAACAAAATTATACTTGTAGCTTTGGTCTGAGGAAGGTTTGCAGTACTGTTTGCATTGCCATATTTATCCATGAAGGACAGAAGTTTTAGTTTCTAAACAGAAATAATGTTTCTAGTGATAACCAGGCATAGGACAGGGAGATTTACAAGTCCATACTGTCTTCCGCAAGAAATGTCATGGTAAGAAACAACACTGAAGTTTGTGTGTGTGCTGCCTAAATGATGGAACAGACTGCTAAAAAAACCAGAAAAACATAAAGTGTTGGAAAGAATTGAATGGTCCTCTAGGGACAGCCTCACTGAAGTTTACTCCAATTGGGGCTTTGGCCTTTTGGGGACAATATGTTTTAAATAGCGGAAGAGCAGCCATCTGCTTAGGAAAATGTCTGAGAGATCGTATCAGTTATGCTGAACTTTCACAGGAGGTGAGTCAGGATTGCTCTGAGAGCATGTCAGAGTTTTGATAATCAGCACATGCAATAAATTAGAAAGCAGCAAGCTGCTATTTCCATAACTCTTCCACTCGGTTAGACCAACCGATAATTTAAAGAACCTGTTTTGATTTCTTCCTCCCTCATTTTCAGTAATATCTTCAAGGGGTCAGCAGTGTGTATGTACAGTATGACTGATGTGAGGAGGGTATTTCTTGGTCCCTATGCCCACCGAGATGGCCCAAACTACCAGTGGGTTCCTTACCAAGGGCGAGTGCCATATCCGCGGCCAGGAACCGTAAGTACCCTAAGAAAAACAATAATCTAAAAAAGGAAAACTATGGAAAATATTTTCACACATTACATGGTCCTTAAGCTGAGATCCAAGAAAGAAACTGAAAAAGATAATGAAATGTATAGGGTGGCAGAAGGGAAAGCTGAAACAACTCACCCAGGTCCAGAATGTACTGATTTTCTTGTAAAGCGTGAAACTGCAGTAAGAACTTCGTTTGGATTTTAATTTTGGCATTCACATTAGCAACTTCATCATAAATTTGAATGATGGCTAGAGAACTTTACTGAAAGTCAAATGTTTAATAAATTACTCTGCATTATCCTTTCCTTGGAATTTGTCTTTATTCCAAGTATTGACTGAGCCATTCTTAGTGAGAATAAACAGAAAACAGAGCATCTGCACGACTGTTAAGGAACTTTCAATTGTTCTCAACGTTAAATCTGGTACGGTATAACAGATATTTCTGCAATGAATGACAGAGCATCTATAATAATTTCAAACTTCCACTGTCATTTTTTAAAATCTCTGGTTCTATCTGTTCCTCTGTTTCTAGTTTATCAATGACTAAAATATCAGAGTGTATAAGATGTCTATATTTACAACTTCCATCTGCTGTCATCAAATTCCAAAAATATTTAACTGCCTCTGAAATTACCAGTAGTCTGAGAAGATGAGCCATTTATGAATAAAAGCATTAATTGTATACCTTGGGGTAGCTCCTTAGCTTGTATAAATCATCTTGGCCCATTTAAGTTCTGAAATATCATTGCCGAAGGTTAAATATATGTGTACACATGTATACATATAAATAGATAAATATAAATACTATATCTGTCTGTAATATTCTCTTAAAAGTCTCCTTAAATACAAAGCACAAAATAAACCAGGAACATCTTTGATTCTTTCTCTGAAATCATCAGATTTTCTATTTTTGTCTAATATGTTTTGAAATTGTTCTTTCAAGCCTGATCTTTCAACTGATCTCCAACAGTTAGACAATATATATGCTCAGCCTAATGAAAATTACTTCCTAAGTAAAAGAAAACAGTGGCTCCCTGACAGGCAGATTCCTCAACACTCCTCACTCCCTCACTACAACTGCTAAAGGTATTCCTAATTTTTTCCAGAGTTACAACACAAGCTCTGCCGCATGGGAGAGGTTTCATTTATCATTTGATATTAATTTTTTTTTTTATTACTATAGTTAATGCTGATATGTCAGGGGTTTTTTTGAAGTTGTATTGTTTTACATCTCTGTGGAAAATGTGAATGAGTAGATATTTTTGGTATTTCTTGTGTAGCTAATGTCTCTTCAGTCTGACAGACTTAATAAGTTAGTGTTCACTATTCTGTTTACTTGTATTCCTCTTTGATTCCAGTATTCATTGACCTTTCTAAACAAAAACAAATAATAAATATTATGTGAAATTATAGACAAAGAAAAATGTTACACGTTTCTGTCACAGAAACAGACTGACACAAAGAGCTGACTGCTGCACTGTAGCCCTGTTACCTTCATTCCTCAGCAGAGGCCCGATGCAGCTCTCTCACGATCTGAATACACAATTTGAGTATTTGCCCGAGATACTGGCAACACAGTTCTGCCTGCCTCAGAGCCTTCTTGCAAGACTTGTCTGGCGGTCTCGAACCAAGATCCATATGGGAGAATAACTTGATCAAAATCCCAAGAACAAGCAGAAAGGCAAGGAGGCGAATCCAACCGCTAAGCGGCTAAGCGACCTAAGTCACCAGATCTTTTGCCAAAGTAGGGAAATACAGTGAAGTTCTACACACTTCTTTTTCTGCTTACCCATGGGTGTTACTTTTACAATTTCACAGTAACATACTTCTACTGCGATTCACAAAGAAAGTGCAAAGAATTTCAAATTTCATTGTAAACATTTTTCTTGCCTAAGGGCGAATGTGATTCCAAATTATACAGTTCTACATAGCCCTGCAGTCGCCTTATGTAGTGCAAGAGGCCATGACACTGTAAATGGCATTAATTAAAGAGTGACTAAGGCCATCAGTTTCTCATTGCCAGTGACTCTAATCCTGGTGTCTACTACTCTGAAAAAGATTTTTTTTTCCTCTCACAGTTGCTGAAATCATTCTATTGTATCAGTAGGATAAAACTGAATTTTAAAATGGGAGTAATTTCTGGCTGAAAGGCTTCTTCTAATATGATAAAATTGGGTGTATTTTCAATGACTTTGAAGACCTGCTGAGAATAAAGAAGAAAGGTTTTTGAAGTCCTTTAGATGTCAGACTTGTGGCTTCCTTTTCCAAGAAATGGGAAAAGAGAAAGGAGAAACAAAACCTGAGCTTCTTACAGTGATTCAGTTCCAGATCTCACTGCAGTTAAACAGTGCTGAATTATCTGAGGAATTTAATAGGTGAGGTGCCAGTAAAGTTCTTAGGCATCTGGTGACTTGCCCAATAAGAGTAAAGAATAAGGAAAGTTAATGATTCTTTTGAAAAGTCAGAAAACTTTATAAACAATTCTACATCAGCTTCACATTTAACGAAGAAGTTGCCAGGATTTTTCCTTTAAGAGCTAGAGAACTTTTTTTTTCTTTTTTATTTTTTTTTTCTAACCTTTTAAGAACATTTGGAAGAGGAGGGAGGATTTTTGTATGTACCTCGTCTTTAATGAGTTACCTCATCCGGAATTCATATCTGACCTCTTGTGAATTCAGCTAGCAGAGCTCAAGTTTTCTCTTCTTCATAGTACCAAGAGTCCATCTTCAGTTATGACTAAAGCACTTTTTGTTCCTACCAAAAAGTAGCTATTGATTTATTCTGTTAGATTCCCTAATAGGCCAGTTAAGTGATAACCTGGTTACCTCCTCCCGACTGATCAAAACCCCTGATGTAAAGTACTGGGGACCAGCAGTTGGAAGTGGAAATTAAGTGCAAGAGTTCTTTGACTCTGTTTGAATCCAAGATCAAGTTCATTTCTCCAAACTTTTTCAGGACATTTGTACTCATGCCTGTCTTTCAGTACCTAAAAACTTTCTGTGTCCTTGATATCAGTGGGATCCATCAGGTACATGAATGAGAGATCTCATGAAGCACCTTGCCAGTTAGCTTCACCAAGAGCCACTAATATCAATAGCAGTCCTGTCATTAGCATCAAGGGTAAGGTCTTTGTTGTGTATCCTGATTTTGTGACCACAACATAAGTAAACATGACAGAAAGCCAACCATATCCTGGGCTACATCAAAAGCAGCGTGGCCAACAGGTCACGAAGGTGATTCTGCCCCTCTACTCCACTCTGGTGAGACCCCACCAGGAGTCCTGCATGCAGATCTGGAGCTCTCAGTACAGGAAAGACATGGACCTGTTCGAGCAGATCTGGACAAGGGCTACAAGAAATTACTAGAGGACTGGAACACCTCTCCAATGAGGAAAGGCTGAGAGTTGGGGCTCTTCAGCCTCGAGGAGAGAAGGCTGCGGGGACACCTTACAGCAGCCTTTCAGTACCTGAAGGGGGCCTACAAGAAAGCTGGAGACAGACATTTTACAAGGATATGTAGTGATAGGACAAGGCGTAATGGCTTTCAACTGAAAGAGGGTAGATTTAGATTAGACATAAGGAAGAAATTCTTTACTGTGAGGGTGGTGAAGCACTGGAATAGGTTGCCCAAAGAAGTCATGGATGCCCCCTCTCTGGAAATGTTCAAGGCCAGGCTGGATGGGGTTTTGAGCAACCTGGTCTAGTGGAAGGTGGCCCTGCCCATGACAATGGGGGTTGGAACTTGTTCTTTAAGGTCTCTTCCAACCCAATCCATTCTATGACTTTCCTTCTCATGACGACTCAGACTTTATGTGGGTTGAGATTCTTCTGCAACCAATTTCAACTATAGATGGGCTAAACCTCACCTACTGATGGTGCCCATTTCACTCCTTCAACAAGGGAGGCAGTTATAGCAAAGATGATAGTTTTATTTCATCTCAGTCAGTTTCCTGAAGTGAGGTGGGAAGAATGTGAGCCACAGACTAGTCCAGGTAGTGCACTTTAGAGCTTAGATGTAATAACACAAAGTAACTGTTATTTGTTTATTCTCACAAAAACAGGGGATCCAAGCAGTAACCTGGCTCTCAAAATTGGGACTCTCATTTAAACATACAGAATTGTGACACTACTTCTAGTTTTATGATTTTTCTGCCTAAAATATATCTTGGTCAAGATGGCTGCGAGTACAATTCTTTGTTAGAAAATGAGCCAGAAAGTAAACGTTCAAGTAATTGAAACACAGCTGAAATTCATTTACTTAAAATTGAAATGAATATTAATTTACTGGTTTTTTCAGTGTTTGCCCAGCTGCAATTAACAATACTTAGTTCTAGGGTAGTGATTTTTATACTTAAAGCACTTTACATATATTATCTAATTAATCTGAGTAATTAGTATTGAACTGTAGTTGGAATATAATCAAGATGTAAAGCAAACTTAAAATTGAAGTGTAGAATTTTAAATACAGTTTTTGAGACAGACAATGATTTGGCCAATATTAAAAAAAGCCTCTCTGATTTTATCTTTGTAATATTTCTGTACAAGACAGTAAGAACATATAATAATAAAAAGGCTGAAAAAGGTTGACACAATAAAGTAGATAACTAACTTGCTTTCTGCCTAGTGTGCTCCACATGTATTAATCAAATGTCCTCCCTCCCTCCCTTCCTCCCTTCCATACCATGTAATGGAATAGAGTGTCGGAATTTGCTTACTAACAAATATGCCAAAAAGGGACAATTTACACTTTATACGTCCATGCTGGAAGCATCACTTTGTTGAGTATAACAACTACTCATTTTGACAACATTGATTTTTTAATTTCATTTCTGATGAATTATTAATAATTTGGATCAAGTTCATAGCAAAGACAATTGATTTCTTCTGCTGAGCATCCTGCAATGTCTGGATTCTTGGATAATAAGATGTTGTCCTCTAGGTTTTTCAATTAATTAGAAGGTATTCTATATTTGGATATAAAGGGCAAATATCTAGGGCATTTTGACACCAGCTGTTTACATTTCAGGTTCAAATGCTGCAAACATAACAATTGTCAGCTGGGATTCAGTGTTTTAGAAGTCTTAAATAGGTATCTCTGAATAGATTAGTAGTGGGGGACACCAAGTTCTCTGCCGAGTATCTTTGGACTGGTGATTTAATGCCACTGTGGCTCATTTTCTTCATCCATTCAGCATTACTAACACACCACTAATGTTTACTTTAAAGTAACCTCTAATTGTTCATAATACTTACCAATTCTACTGAATAGAAGAGGGCGAATAGCAGTGATTAGCCACAGTCTCCATATCACCCCATGGGGACATGAGGTAGGTGAAAGTGGAGGAATATTTTTGTGGATACCAAAGCCATGGTCTTACCCCTGCATCCCTTCTCCGCCTCTGCATTTTGCTCAGGTTGGAAGAATGTGAGCAGAGAATTCTCTGCTTTTCACAGATAAAACTGGGTGGCACACTCATGGCTGTATAAGGGGGCAAAGAGACTCTTTACTGTGTTACATCTCGGGGATGAGCTTAATCCCAAGGGGACATCAACTTTTATGTTGCTGGACAGCACACAATAGTGAGGATTTTTTTGAGTTCTTTGGTGAAAGTCATCTCATTGACCTGTTCTCATTGACCGCATGAGCAGCAACACTCACATGAGTCTTTCATTAGAATCAATGGAGAGAGAAGAGGCACGCTTAGGACATGACTTGTTTGATTTGATTTAGTGTAACAGGATCTGTGTTATTGGGACTACATGGATAGCATAGGCTTTTTGAGACAAGGAGGAGTTTGAGAAGTCAGTAGAACAGGGAATTGTCCCAGAATCTAAGGATTTGGTTCCTCAGAGAGGAGTTGATTTCCAGTCAACTTCTGAAGACAATACTTTGAAACTAAGATGGTGGCATAATTTATTAATTTTCTGTTGCATGCATAACCGAATGCTGTAATTGCTTGTTTCATATTGAATGATTTTAGATAATTCAGGATTTCTTCCTTCTGCTAATGGAATATTAATGCAAATCTGTAAATGACTGAAAATCCTTTTGCACTACATAGTAGTAAGCAAAAAGATGTATGATGATCACTTACGTTCTGTTAACCATAATGGTTTAAATCCAAAATGAAAAAAAGAGAGATTATTAGTGACGGAATTAACTTTTGCTGTCTGTCATGAAACACTTAGATCACCTGTCATATTTATAGACTGCAGTATTTGGGATGATTGTAACAAAATGGATTTCTAATATGTTACTAGTGATCAATAATAAAATGTAAAACATGTTGTTTTTTATTTCCAGTGTCCCAGTAAAACATTTGGAGGCTTCGATTCCACCAAGGACCTTCCTGATGAAGTTATAACTTTTGCAAGAAGTCATCCAGCCATGTACAACCCAGTATTCCCCATCAACAATCGTCCAATCATTATCAAAACGGACGTAGATTACCAGTTCACACAGATAGTAGTAGATCGAGTAGATGCAGAAGACGGCCAATATGATGTGATGTTCATTGGCACAGGTGAGAAGTCTTGAATCTACACTGTATGCTCCTCCAGGCATTGTGGAGACACAGATCAGATAAAATTCCATACTCTGAAAGACAGAACACTGACAGAACAGTGTATACCTGTGAATATTTGGGGCAAGACTCAAAACTGTGTGTGGGGATGTCTTTGTTACATACATTTGCTGTTACAGATTCAGGCCGTGGCCTGTACAGCTTAATTCTTTAGGAGCTTTGCCAACTGGATTAAGATCAAACCACCCGCTTTTCAGCTACTGTTATTAGGGAATTTTATTAGAAATATCTTACCCTATTAATTATACTTTAATATTAAAATGAGGGGTTTGAGGTATCCATTTTCAAGTGCAGCATAAGAAGTATTAACCTGAATGAGGCATATATCCAGGTATGGGAAATGTCTTGTGTGCCTTTCAAGTAGTTCAAGTACTGCCTTAAGATGCCTGGCTCTTTAGCCAGAAGAGTGCATCATTTTACTTTAGATGAAGATATCTGGCACATACAAAGTGTTTTAAGAAGAGCTGGTATTCACGTAAAAACGTGATATCCTTTCCAAAGCATATGCAGTATCATACAACTTGGGCATTTTATAAAAGTAGAAATATGCACTCAGAAAAGACTTTTTTTCCAGAAAAGTAATTATGAGAAAAAACAGTGGCCAGAAATTAGCTGATATGCTTTTGCCTATGTTCAGTGGCTGCAGAACTATGCTGATTTGCAGTTGGTGAATCTGCTTCTTCACCTTTGAAGATATTCCATTACTTGGCTGATGTCTCAGTTGTGTTGAATAAAAGTTCTTTAAAATTCTATTGAACATAATTGCTAGTAATTAGACATTAGCATCATGAAGTCAAAACAATTCAACCAAATACCCCACTGTTTCTTTTTAGCTTTGGACCAAAATACATCTGTCTGTCTGTCTGTCTTATAACAACCCAATTTTTTACTTGCTTTCAGTAGAGTTCTGGTGCTCGAGACCTGGGGTCAGGTTTCCAAAGCAATAAATCTCAAGGTCTGTTTCATGTTGATGCCTGAAATGTATTATGAGCAAACTGAGAGCTGATGAAGCTTTGTGTACCAAACATGGTGCGTGAATAACAATTCAGAACATTTACTGTAGGAAATGCACCTCTGCAGAAAGTGTTCCAGCTCTTTAAAGCTGTGAACTGAGTTATTAGATACCAGTGCTACAATAAGTTCTTACTTAAAACACTGAAAAGTAGTTTCATATGATTTTACACAATACCTACATTTTCCATCGCATATTAGAGTCTTTAATGCCATCTACAATTGGCAGTGTTTTGTGACTTCAACAAGTATTCTATGACTTGATTCAGCCCAGAAAAAAAATTAATGGCAATACTCCCCTTGGCTGAAATGTGAGGGAACAAGCCCTGCAGCATGCAGAGTACAGTTCTGAACAAACATAAGGATCTGATTTATGTCTACATCTTGAGCACAAGAGGTGGCATTTATCTCACCAAAGTCTGGCACTCAGTTTAAGAAAGATGCCTTGGCTTCTGGAAGGGAGAGTGATAAGTACTTCCAGAGAGAGATTCATTGTACTTTCTTTGACACCTCTATTAGAATAAGGTCAATAGTCATGCAGAAGATCCTGTCTGTTTTTAGACTTGCTTAAACCTGAGCTACAGCTTTTAGGTAGCTATCGTTACATATAGTGGTTCTTACCTAAGCTTTGTCAGGCAGGGTCTCCCTCTGAAGAAGCTAGCTCTTACCTTTGAGTTGGGAATTTAGGTACTCACTTAATTCTCTAAAGCACAAATATTCAGGTGTGTGGTAAGTGCTCTGGATCCCATCCAACATTGCTGATATTTGTGCCCAAGAACTGTAAGGAAAGTACTGCAAGATTATTACTTGCACTTGCCAAAAGGGATTTCATCACCAAATACCGAGCTTTGTAAGGGCAGAGTGTTATTATTTCTTGAAATATTACTTTTGTCCATAGAAATTTTTCTTTTCCCAGCAGGAAGCTATACCCTCACGGGACTAGAACTAGCGTTAAAATATGTGTGCTTGGAGCTGGGGCACAACAGATGCTCTGTGCTCCTCTGAGCTCACTATCCTTGTTGTGGGTCTCAGAATGAGGAAAGGGCACCTTACGTGTAGGCGGAAAGGCAAAGAGTGAGACCCAAGGCCCTGCCTGCCTTCTGCCAGAAAGCCTCACAGAGCTGGCCAGTCAAAGTTAAAGAAACCAGAAACAGATACACAATCAGTGCATATTACATCTTCCCCAAGCAAAGAACAAGCCAGGGAGCAGATTAGGGACTCTAGTCACAGCCCAGTTTCCCACTTGATGATCTGAAACTATGACAAAGCCAGAATTAAGCTCTCAGGGGTATGACTGGATTTTTCTGTGCAGGTCTGTCCCATCAGATTAGATACATTGCTCTGTATTTTCCCATTGCCGTTGCAGCAATCTACATTATTCCCACATGCTGCTGAGATTCAATATGTGAAAGAAATACTTTTTTTCTTCTTTTCATTGAATAACTGATGATAATTGAACACAACATAATTAATAGCCATCCAGTGTGGTCACATTTTCCCTTCCTGTGGGCGAAATCTTTAGCCGAGCAGTTTCTTTCCCACTGTGATTGTACTAGTGTGTTTCACAGTGGAAATAAAATCATATCGGCCTGCTTGAAATTATATCAGAAAAAAACAGGATTTAAGATATGCACTTAATGCATATCCTGAGTGTCTGATGTTTGGGATCATTTGGCACAGTCGAGGTACATCTGTCAGTAAAGCAAATTAATAACAGTAATCTTATCTTGCAGAGCAGAGCTTATTGATGCTAAAGGAGAAGCCTAATTCCATTTGTGTGAATTTGTTTGAAATACTACTCTGTAAAACTTGATCTAGAACTCAGATAAAGCCCCATTTTGGTACCTGTGGCCTGACCAGAGTCGCCGTAGTGATTAACGCGGTGTATCTTTGACCTCAGAGGCTTTCTCCAGCATCAAGCCACTGTAATTGTTGCAGGATCCACTTAAAAGTCAGACCTTTTTTTGAAACAACACGATGTGGGGAACTCATGTCTGCTCGGTGCCCGCTCAAGCTCCAGTTTCCCTTGTGCTGTTTTGTCAAAAATCCCCCTTTATTTCTAGAATATGGCATTTCATGGACTGTGACTGAGGGTAGCCATATTCCAACGCAGGATACGCTCATAACACATTGGTACACTGTTACATTTATTAGATCTGAGTCCTCTTTTTTACCTGCATGATGTATTTCCTCGAAAGCACAGTCATCAAACTATCAGGATAATTAAGGAAATGAACTCATCCATTAAATTAGAAGCATAGCTAACATTAAATTATCTGTTGTTCTGAATTACTCCTTTGTAGAAATGTGGTTTTTTTTTCTTCTGGTTTTAAAGTTTATATTACATTTGTTTGGCATTGTTCTCAATATTTCTTGAATTAAATATATTCAATTGGTTGCAGTAACCATAATGAAAACTACTTCCAAAATAACTTATCTATTATATTTTACTAGCTTAATTTCTACATGTAGCTGCCGAAATAAAAAGATTTTTGACTTGTTTCTGTTTTAAGAAAGAACTGGTTTTTCTTTTTAAAAAAGAATCTGCGAATTTGTGACTAATGAAAGAAAACAGCAAAGTAGACATTCTATGGAAAAAAATTGCATCTTTCTAAACTTCAAAAAATCTGTGCTTGGAAACCAACAGCTGCTTAAAGAAAAGCAGACACAAAAATGAAAATCTCAGTTCTACAGGGTATTCTAGGATTTTTATAATATTTTATTCCAAATTCCTGTAAAGAAGTTGAAATACCAGAATTTTCTCGTGAAATCAATAGCTTTTCAAGATAGTCACCTTATAAAAATTACGTTTTCAACCTGTGTAATCTAATCATTTCAATTTTGTTTGTATTTTCAATATAGCAGTGGTGAGTGCGCATCTTTTTAATCAGACATTTCAGCTAACACACACAAATATATATACATATTAAATATGTTTTGAATCTATGTAATTGCTCCTTAATTCTTCCTTTGAGAGTATAGACCTTTATCATTCTGTTACTTTGAGAATTTTATCCATTTTAAAATGCCTTGTATTTTCCTAAACTATTGCTGATATAGAATGTACAACAAAAAAACTCTTCAGGGAAGTAGTTGTTATTCCTCTGATATATTTACAAGGCACTACACTTCGCTGGTTAAAAAGAAAAGTCACATCCAGAGTTGTTTGCATTTCGGAGTCTGCAGTGATGTGTACCAACCTAGAAATGATCCTTCTTTTTTTTTTTTTTTGCCTTGAAAATTCTGTTCATGGAGACAAAAAAATAAATTACAGATGCAGAGGCTGTAAAACTGAGATGATCTTGAGTCACAAACCATATTCACAAACCTAAAGGCTGTAGCTCTGGAATTTCAAGTGTTGGCCCTGTTCATGTTAACGCCAATTGCAAAACCCCAAGAATGTAAATCGATATAGCATTAAAATGCTGGCACACAACTGTTTCTAAACAGAAGATACATATTGTATTGCTTTTTACCCCTCAGTAAAGACTAGTATCTAACACACAGTGAAAAATGGATGCCTTAAGGGGCTTATATATCTTCGGTACTTTGTTTGACATGGGGAAGATCGCGTGTACTTAAGAGATCTAACAGCTTCATCAGTCTAACAACATTTGTCCAGATGTTTTTATATCCATACTGAGCCTTCTGACAGCATCTTCACGTGCATTTTAAGAATGACAAACATTGTATTCAAAATGGATAATAAAACATGCCTGGGTAAATTTAGTGCATTTCCTTCCTCAATTAAATGACTGAAACATCTGTCATTTTATGCTGTCACTTAAATAGTATTTCAGCTCTTTTCATTATTTAATTATTATAGTAATATTTATCTTCTTTGTTGCATTTTGAGAATTGAAGGACTTCAGTGAAATGTCCTACTGAAATTCAGTGGTTTTGCAGGTTATTTTAAATAACAGTTGATACTTTGAACAATGAATGCTCAGAGATATGTAAATTCACAATCTTTATACGTGAAATAACTCTATTCTGCAAGAAACTCTAGCTGCTCTGAAACTAAAGTATGCTTCGTAAGCACCTGAAAACTTTTTTTTTTCTTTTTTTTCCCTTTTCAAGATATTGGAACTGTTCTTAAAGTGGTTTCAATTCCTAAGGAGACTTGGCATGAGTTAGAGGAAGTCTTGCTGGAAGAAATGACAGTCTTTCGGGTAAGTGCGGCTAAATTTCAAGTGTCAGGTTGTAGATTTCTCTGTGGACAGCTGCAAACTAAACTCACAGTCTAGCCAAGGAATAGCCTGGCATACCCCTCTAATTAGCTTGTCATTTGGAGACCCAGACACTAGTCAAAATAAACCCTGAAACTTTCAGTGCTAGCTGGAGGTTAATGGTAAAAAAATTGGCATTCTGGGCTCTTGTTTTGCGGTTTAAAAAGTAAATTAGTACCTCTGATTCTTAGAGCTGTTACATGCTGTAGTTAAATACGTATCTGTGCCAGTCTGGGAATAATGTCTGTCTGTTTTCTTCCACAGAGATATGTAATACATGAATTTTATAGCTGCATCAACTCTGAACACTATTCAGACTATCACCATAATCTAACTAGGAAGATAGCTTAGGAGAAACAGTGATCTGCACAGATTGCTTATGCCTAATCATTTTCTTTACCTAACAAAGACAGTGTTTATATTTTCAAAGGTGACTTTAGAGTCTCATTTTTATGGTTTTAACGCAAGACACCATAAACACCCCTAATCTCTAGTATGTTTTTGTGAAAATCAAGCTCTTCCATTTTTCCTGTCTGAGCCACCTAAAAAATGAGGCATCCCACAGGCAGTCCTGAAAGTCAAGGCTGAGTATACCTTTCAAACACTTTCCAGACAGAACCCAGGGATGTCTTGTGTTTTGTACACAACAACGAATCATTTACATTCCCCACATTATTCTTTCTGTCAGTGCTGTTTTATGGCACCATTTCAGAGGCTCCAGGCTTTCGGGGCGTTGATACCCAGCTGGGAGCATGAGTTTTATCTGACAGCATGAAGATGATGCTTGCGTGCTTGGAGAGCCCCACATCGCGTAGTCTCACTTCAGATGATGTGTTGGCAGGGACTTTGCTCCGAACCTGCCACAGGGTCCCAGCAACCATGTCCTCATCATACTCAGTTGCCATCCCTTTATCTTTGGTTTCTGAACAGGCACAACATATCCAAACAGAGCTTGTATATCTTTTTATTATTACTTTCAATATTATTTTCATTTTTTTCTTATGGGCAATCTTGCCTTTACTGGTACAAATCTTGCACAGAAATCACTGGTTTGAGTGCAAGATACCACTGAAACACGGGTATTTCTGTTTCTGCAATCCATGGGGTTTTTGAGGGTAGAAATGTGGGCGGTTTTCTTTCTTTTTTTTAACAGAAAAATAAAGTAGAAACTATGAGGAGAAAATGAGACAAGTAATTTGTGGCTCCTAGCTTTTTTTCTTTTTTATACTTGCAAAAGTCATTACATTAATGCAGGGTAATTTGGCAATTGTTGATAATGTACGAATCTCTTCCCTAAATCAAGTAGAAGTGCCAAGCTAAAGGAGATCAGAGAAATATAAAAGTGAAAGGAAGAAAATAAATGGAGTGAAAGTTTCATTTCAGAAAGGCTTTACAGAAGTAGAATGTTTAATGGCAAATTCAAACCTGGTATTTTACTTTACGTGTGTGTTTACTCATTACACAAAAGGATTTTGGTGTTCTGATTTACTTGAAAGCTCATTTATCTCCTTTGGCATGTATTTAAGCCTTAAAGAGGGCATTAATATGCTTCAGTGGAATAAGAAGAATTTGTATGCACAAGATATGGATCTTTAAACAGGGAATTTGTAACAGATTTTACATGTACCTTAAGCAAATGTAAGTTTTCTTTAGTTACTAAAAGAGTCTACATGCATCATAAACAATGTATTTTAATGTTTAAACTGCAATATGCTGAATACAATGCGTTTCATTTGCGATTCCATGAAACTGAAAGTCTTCCATATCTGTTACATTGATAGCAAATGCTTCTTTTAACCCCATTTGTACAATATTTCTCTGAACAGTGGAGCAAACAAACTAATGTGTTCAATTTTCATTCAAATGTTACATTTAGGTGATGCTTTCTAATATAAGATCTATTAACCCATTTGTAAAGGCAAGTTCATATGCTTAACCCCCACTGACCCATATCAAATTCTCTCAGGATAAGCAAGTTGAAAGCTACACAAGAGTAGAAGTTTAATAAGGATTTTTTTAATGTGCGTAACCAAAAGTATGATGTGTGGGATCAACAGCAGATTTTTAGATGGAATAAAGTTCATACAGAATTGACTTGCGCACTTTGTAACCACATTACACCACTTTTATGATTAAAATTCATTCAAGCAGCTGGGCCTGAAAGGTGTCTTATAATCAGATCTAAGCATACTTATTCTGTTAATATAATATTTCCTACGTTCTCTCATGTAAGAAAGCAGATATTAGTTTGACATCTGCTTGCTACAGAGAAGTATAATTAAGAGTAGACTTATCTGGGAGAACAATAACTCTCCTAGCGACCATTTGGTTGGTTTAATAATGTGTATTCCAAGTTGCAAAAAACCTCTTGCCAGTTTAAGTTCTATGTTCTGCAAATAGAGTAACTTATTTGTACGTGAATAGTGTGGTGCAGTCAACAAGATTATGCTTGGGATTAAGGCTTGTTCTTATGAATAAAAATTTGCAGGAATGGATTTTTCACTTTGGTATGCTTAAAATGTGTGGCTTATTTCAGTGTTATCATCTTTAATATACAGTATCTGTGTGTTTTGATACAACCATTATTGTTTTCGTATTACCTGGGAGATCCTTTAAATGTAGTTTTAATATTAAGTGTAGAAATTAGTTTCAAGATGTGAAACTAGTAACAAAGTAATCATAATGAAACTGTAATAATCATGGAAAATAATATGCCTACAATCAACACAGCAATCAAAGATGCACCAGATATGTACATGCATTCTAATTCACAGCTAGAAACTATTCCAATACAAAAGACAAAAAGAAGCACTATTACTAAGGAGTGTCATTTAATTTCAGGGTTTCTAGGTTGGGCAAATAGCATTCTAGCAGAATTTTTGTGTTTATAGAACTCCTTTTGTATTTTAACTCTTTTTATTTTTTTCCTTAGGAACCCACTGTTATTTCAGCAATGAAGATTTCCACAAAACAGGTACTATGTGCACAAACTTTAAATCACTTTTAAATATTTATTGGTCTCTGTCTTTGAGAGACAGTAACTTGGCAGCAGCGTCCCATCCCTTTACATAAACATCAGTAGTTTCTCAGGAAAATATGACATGCAAAGGAGAAAGGAAAAGCCTAGTTTGTGTCACTTAATGGTAAGGTGGAAACTAAACACAAACTAACTAGCTGTCTGGAGGCTCTCTAGAAAAAAAAGAAGATTCCATATTATGGAATGTTCTCGTGACGGAGAAACTGCTCAAAAGGAGTGGCCAAACTTGGTGCCTTGCTTTAATGGGACTAGTTCTAGTCTCTGTAGGAATCGCCTAGTACAAATGGGGGTAGTGCAAGCAAGGACTGGAAATGAGACGTACTCCTGCCTTCCTGTCCAATGCCCATTCCATTCCTGGATGTGCACCATTCGGCTTTAACAAAGAGGATAGATCTGATTTAGTCCAAATTTTCCATGGTCTTCTGGTTCAGTAACGTGGTTGGCATATGGATTCCAGACTCCAGAAATTATATTTCCTACTTTCTGTTGAGTGCAAGAATTTCTTAAAGATATGTATTATAGCCTTCATTGTAAACCAGACCGTAACTAAAATGAACTGGACTTCTTGATACATGGAGTTAATTTTTTGTCTGATTTACAGTCAAGGTGATTCATATTTCTGAGCAAATAAGCGTAATTATTATTAGGCTTCTTTGTGAAGCAGGTGATGAATTGTGTAGTTGTGAAAAGAACTTCGGGTTTCTGACCAAAGGTAAAGTGGGTGTTAGGGGCCTGTCTTCCAGTTCTGCCTGGAATTAGGCATAGGGATCCCAGCCACTGTCATTTCCTGTCTCAGAAGTCTGAGACATGAAATTTAGTGTCAAATTTAACATAACAACACTTTTTTTTTTCTTGTTCATATGTGTATTGATTTGGAGCCTAATTCGGTAAATACAAGCAACTTGTTCACCCTTCTGAATTTTTCCATTAATGTCATTGTCAGTGAAAAGGAGATTTGGTATTACTTCCAGGACTGGGTGCACTAAAAATTGTGTGTGTTACAAATAAATTTAGTTAATTCATCTACCTCGCTCTGTACATTGTTAAACAGAAGTTCAATTAATTCGGTAACAGACAGAGCCCAATATTATGTCTGAAATGCAGCATATTTAACTCAGAATTTACTGTATTTAGGAAAGTTGTCTGAAAAGATGAGCATATTTGACAGAAAATATTTGATTTGGGGACACTCTTCTAACATAGTTTACCACGTAAAACAACAAAAATGGCAGGACAAAAAAAAAAAAGTACTATTAAATATGGGGAATTTAAAAACAAACCTGTCAAGCTGTATATATGTTCACATCATACCACAATGCTCTACTTGGGATTATTTTTATAAGTACTTTCCGTTAAAGCAGCCAATCGTATTTGCTAACAGAACGTGCATTTTCACACAACTTCTTCAAAGCATCTTTAGTTATTCAGGAGAGATTTAAATTTTCCCTGACTCTTTTGAAAACAAATTTACACTGCTAAAATTGTCTAAAGCTAAAAAAGAGCATAAACACAAGTTATCCAGGCAGAGTTAAGTTCATGAAAAACCAACCAGCCTCAGGCTGAAAATGACAGAATCATGATACAGTATGACAAGCTTTTGGCATGGTGTCTCTGTATCGAATAAGTGTATGACAACATGTTTCCACTTTATAGTTATGATTTAAAAATACTGTAGTTTTATAACTCAAACACGTTACTCATTGTGCTCTGATAAACAGGGCGTTTTTCATATAAACAGAGTGATAATTCCATGCATTGTAGAAAGCAGGAGCATGAAATTTAAACAGTAAAACCAGCATGTCTTACTGAATAACTTGACAGAAACTTTTTCACTTTTTTTTTTCACTATCAATTTTTTCATCCAATTATAAAAACATGGTACAGGGAGTTCCTCCTCACTTTTTAATGTTTTACTACACTGATTGTTGAAAACTACCTCTTCTGCCATCCTGCCAATATGATATGTTACAAATGACTCTTCTACCTAAAGACCAAAATCTACAAATTCTTCAGGAGCAGAAAGTTTTAAATTATATACAACCGTTAAGGCTCCCTTGTCTCTCTATGTGAGTATGAATTTGGCCCTTGAGTGAGACTGATTTTAAATGAGGAAATTTAACCTTTCTGTGCAAGACTAAGCCTTGCTACAGTCTTTCTCAACTCTGCTGTCTTTAACTCACAGGAATTATAGTTACATTTTCTCACGAATCTACATATTCCTCCTAATTGTTTTCTGATCCCAAGGCTTGGGTAATCTTATCACTCAAACAACTTTTGCATGGTTAGCAGTAGGCAAAAACCTTCAGAGGACAGCACCCTAGAGCCACCAATAACACCCTGCAGGTGCCTAAACTCACAATTCTGTGGGAGCCAGGCTTTCAGGGAGCCCCTAGCTCAACAATTTTTTCCCTTGATTTAAAAATGTGTAAGCAGGCCAATAAGTCAGGCCTGGCTTTCAATCAGAGGTGACTTTTTGTGGAGCAAGTTTGCATCATTTTTCAGGGTGAGATTTGTGATCCTCTGCTTCAAAAGCCATTGAATTTCTGGTAAGATGGGAAAAAGTCATGGAGATCCTTGGCTGATACAGGCCATCTTGTCTGGTGAACTGCTGCAAAGGGATTTTTTTTCTCCTCTGTAAGATTCTCAATCAGAGACCTGCAGAAAGACATTAGTGACTACATTTAGAGTACTTTTCACAAAGTATTGAATTTTATTCAGAGATCGTCATTTCTGTCCATAGTAAGCATACAGAAATGGCCAGGTCAAAATGGATATGTGACTTAAAAAGCCCCCTGAACTATTCTGCATCAGTTACTTTTCCAGAAAAAATTAAATTAAATGGGGTTTGAACCTCAAACTCCCTGAATTCCTTTTAAAATTCTGCCTAAGTTATTGTTTTTAAATATTACATTTTTTCATCCCCCCTTTTTTGTAATTGCAAATGGGAAATTCTCAGTTACCTCTTTGTCCAGCT